ATATATTTCCAACTCATGTCACCCAGTCGCCTGGTTCCGATAGAACTTTGCTGACTAAATTGATATGTTGCCATTTAAGCGACTTAAAATAGCAGTGGAATACTATACATGATACAAGTTTATTCGCTATCTTATCGTTATTCATCCCATTCATAGAAAAATACATTTGTTGAGTTATAAGACTATCTATCTATTTTACCTACACTTTTCTATAATGTTATAATTTGAACTTAATAATTTAATCTCAGGATTGTGTGTAGCTACTTAGTGAATTGCCCCAAGAACTTATTCGGCCTTCATCTAAATTAAATTAAAACGAAATTCACGTTTTTCTTCAAAATGAAAATCTCAGTCAGAGGTTGTGACTAAAGAAATCAAACAATGTTTAACATAATGAAGTTACCCACTGCAGATATTACATACTTTTCGCGCTATATAACTAATTGACTGAAGTTAGATATATTAATCACCGAAATTTTAACTCATTAGTCTCCACGTGATAAGCTCATCCTCTATGTGAGATTCAAAAGGGTTGAGTTCGATCATTGGTTAGGTTTGTCCGCCGTACACAACTAGAGAAGAACATTTATTCAGATGCACTCTTTATTGCCCTTTAAATGATTCTTTAATTATAAACAGAGAGGAGTTTTGTGGATATTATAATAATTTAATAGTTGAATTCATGAGTCTAGACCACCATGGAAAACCTAAAAGCACTGGGCGACCGTTTCGTCGTAGTATGGGACTCCTTAGCAGTGGATTCGAATCTCGCAAGGCGGAATCATGGATGTGCACTGCTGGGGAGTCCCAAAATAGGACGAAATGGCCTTCCAGTACTCCCAGGTTTTTCATGTTGGTCTACCTTTAATTGATTTATGAATTCAACTATTAGATTCTTTAATTCATAAACAAAAAAAATTTCTTTTCATAAGTGAACTAATCATTACTAACAAGCCATTTAATTATGCCTGTGTATGTGTGTTAGAAGATTACAAAAATAACAGTTACTTAAACTTTTAATTAGTTCGTTAAGAATAAAGAAAATTAATATTAACACTAATTAAAAGAACAATTACAGAAGGACAAATAGATATGAATAAGAATAAATGAAGTTAATTATTAATTGTCTATTTATTATAAACATGATAAAAACTATCTTTTCTAATTATACTATACATTACTAATACAATATTGAGATAAAGTGATTTTTTTTATGTATAGAATATCATTAAAATCACCTGAATACTAATGAAATAAGCTAAATTCACATTTATTTTAGAAAAATCTGGTAACCGTGAAGAAATCAATTATTTTATTTTTCAGCTTAACAATTGAAATGACTTAACTGTCATAATAAACATAATCATTTAACTAATACAATATTAATCATAAAATAATACATGATTTTATTAACAGTAAGGTGTATTTATTGTGAATTGATTTCAGTTAAAGTAGTAGTGAAAATCAAAAAGGATTGAACAGCTGTTTCGTCGTATTATATAGGACTACACAGTGACAAGGTATCGAGCACGTTTCTAAGGCTCAACCACATGACCTTCAAGTTTAGAGGGGAACATCTAACTATTGAAACCATAAGAGCAGGATGACTTTATAGTTATTTAATTCACACACACACACACACACACACACACTCGCTCTCTGACACAAATAGACACATACTCATTTTCTTGTTAATTTAAGTGTGTGTTGACTCAAGTGTTCTATAATTAAATTTTGTTGAAATGAAGAAAAAAACTAGTAAGTTAGAAAATTCGCTAACTTATACATAAATGGAGAGGTGTAGTGCTTTATTGTTAAAAATAAGTTACACAGAATAATAAAACAGATCTAAATTATCATGAAATTAGTGAGTAGATGTACATTTTTAAGACTTAAAAACAATGAAGAAAGTTTGTAGCTCAGGTAGATGCATTTAGTGGTAGAATGTTCTCTGAGCTACTTTTTAAAGTAAAATGTTGATGATACTACGTCTCCAGAACGACAATAAAAACACTGGAATAAAACCAGTTAACTTGGAGAACACAACACCACTGACAATATTTTGAAGAGAACCACCAATGAGTCATTTTCGAAAAGTATATGCATTCCTCTCGATCAGATTTCTCAATCTTACCTTGTAATAATGGGCAATGTATTTGAGTTTTAGGATGAATACAAACATTCAGCCATAGGTAAAGACAACTGACGGGTAAGAAATATGATGTATTCCATATCCTTACTTTCACTAATTTTTAATGCACGTTTATTATTTCAAAAGGAAATATAAAGAGTAAGTATTCAAAATTGACATCATAGACAATAAGATGAAAAATAGTATACTTATGTATCAGTGTGATAACACTGAAAGAATAGAAAATGAACCCATAATGGAATAGGAAGTAATAGGGAAAGATAATACGATTTATTTATCGTAAATCCTTATTACCAATAAAAGTATGCCATAACTCACTCACTTTCTTTATGTTTATGTAAATATGAATGCTGTGTGTGCGGCAATTTCCTTTTGCATAAATCGATCGTGAGGAGATAGATTCGAGAGATAATTGGATAATTAAGATTATAATTAATATGGTAATCTGGTCAAATCAGCTATGGAGGATTACAAGATTATAGTAAAATTTATTAGCTATTGAATCGTCAGTGGAAATAAAGTGAAAAATCACATTGAATTCAGTGCATACACCCGTTGTACATTAGGAAAAGCATATATATATATATATATATATATATATATATATATATATATATATATATATATCGCCTTTTAACGGTAAGCTGTTAATCACAAGCAAAGTCAATTAAAGAATTGTATTTAAATCGGTACAGTATAGAATTGTTTACTTTGATTTTTTCTTGATGAATATTTCGAAATTATATTTTCTGTCAGGCATGAGATGAATAAAACTCCGCCTGGAGTCCCTCCGGGAGCTATAGCCGGTCCCAAGCCCGGATAAAGGAGGAGGGTTGGGTATGGGGTTAGCGACCCCATCCCGTAGAAAACCTACTCGCTAAAAAAACGCTAACCAGAAAATGAGATGAATAAGTTGAACTTTGAGGACTATCCTACCGTGAATTATTATACATATTTTTATTGTATATTTTATTAATTATTTAGTTCACAGTAATTTTACATTACCTTAATTATAAGTTGTCAGTTAATTCATTAACTGTCAGTATGTGTTTTAATTTGCAGAAATTACCGCTAATTAATTGTGTCCATTACTCAGTTTTGAATCATATATGACGTAGTTATGTAAAGCATTATGATGCGTTACGGTTATGTAACTGATCCATGTAATCCTGTGAATTTTCGAATAATATGAAATAATAGACGGTAGGTAGCTTTACAATTTTCTTGTTCTGATTGACTATTAGAAACAGAATGAACATCGTAGACTAAAACATGGTAGAAAATGTAGTTAATATTGGCAGTCATTTATGTTGTTGGTTATAAGTGAAATTTGTTGTTGATCAGATTCGCATAAAAGTGAAATCAATATTAGTGAGCTCTATATTCTAGTGATCCTACTTAGTGAGCATATAAAAAAATTTGAATTTAGTGGTTGAATAGTAATAGTCACAGTTTATATGTATTTAGAAAAAATCCAACTCGAAATCACTAAGGAACACGGTAATACTCAACATCACCTATTTTTGTTCAAGCAAATAAATATAAACTAGCCATGATATATGATGATTAAATTATTTTAACTATATTAGCAACTTGTCGTTGAAGGGTTATAAAATCATTTAACTAACATACTTATTTCCACACACTTGTGCTTTACTAAAGGATCAGCAGTGATATCAAATAGGTAATTTCTCTAAAATGTAGCGAAGAGATTTGTATTCGGTTAAATTCCTAGCAATGTATCGTACAATACAAGCAATTGTTGTGAGATATTTTTACTCTGATTCTGGAACCCATAAGGAAAAGTCGATATTGTTTTTGTATGGCGCTCAAGAAATATGATTTGTACAAATTATTTCTTGATAACATTTAAGATGTTGATTTTAGTTAGGGTGATTGCTGAAAAAATTATCCTACAAAATTCACCGAAACAAGCTTAACAGGGTAACACAGAAACTAATTATATCCCTTTTATTACTCAAAAATGTTTTCAATTTCCAAAAACTCTCGTTTTTTATTTCTCAATGGATGTTTTCTGTATATTTAAAAAAAATATCGTTAAATGTTGAAACGATTTGATTAGAAGTTATTTATTGTAAAGGTAAAGAAAAATGGCAAATAATTTAAAGTTTCATACAATGGATTAACTTCAGTTAGGCAATAATTAAGAAGCAGGAAGCACTAGACAGTTGTTATACTGTAACACAAGACTTAACTGAAGGCATTCAAAACCCCATGGCCTTCAAGTCTTCCAGAGGGCCCTGACCTTCAGATAACTGAGTTGACAAATTCACTGATTAACATTTGTGGCTTCAGTTAATTTGCAACAACTAGTGAACATCATCCAGCAATATTTGTTTCAATCCCAACATGGTTCAACCTTATTGATCCCAAATTCTCATTAGATGGTTGCCTAAACAAAGTCAGTTCTGCATGTGATAAATCATGTTTTAAGACATAATACAAAGAAGTCTGAATAATGGAAAAGAAAATAATAGTACTAGATGATGAGAAACTTAAAACTAAGCATTAAGACGGAAAAATAAGACAAGAAGAGAGTATTTCTAGAATAAGCATAAATTTATTATCAATGAACAAAAAAGTCGTTGATTGCTTCCAGTTTCTCAGTGGTGGCCTAGCTAAGATAAGTCAGTGGTTTAAATTACCAAACTTTTTTAGAAAGAGATTTGTAGATGGTAAGCTAAATGGTCGACTAGTGTGATAGTCATCATCAAATAGCACTCAAAAACAAAAAAAACCAGTCCTTTAAAGTTCGTTAAAGAAAAAGTAGTAAAATCAATCGAGTGAGAAAAATAAATACTAAACTGTATGCACACAGGAAACTCACATTTTTGTCTAAACCTAATTCGGATGAATTTGTAAGCACTTGAGCATATTCTAACTTGTATGATGTAATGCGTGATCCATTATCTATGCCGGGTCCCCATTTAATATGCAGGGAATTACGTGTTTGACATATTATTTGTATAGTTCGCGGAGGATTCGGCTTAGATGGCAAGGTCATGAAGTGTGCAATCGGACTAAATTCACCACGAATTCCAGAGTAGTTACAACATACTCTATAGAAAAAAGTTGAAGTGACATACGTTACTTAAAAAACATTGAAACATCGATTATAACTATGATAGTAAATAAAAACTGAGTAACACAATGTATATACTATGGATTACATTTTATTATCTGACGACAGTCGATGAAAATTGCTAAAAAACCTACCAGTAGCCAGGAAACTTCTGGAAATACTCTAGCTAACCAGTAGTCATTAGAAATTTCAAATATAATTCCAAAAGATAACGGGTTATCTTTCCATAATTTGGAATTATTATCCCAGTTTTAGCATGCTTTCCAGAAGCTCCTAGAATTGCCACCTTACATAAAATCCTATAAACACCTTGTTTTATGTACATAAACTAACATCGAAAGCAAAACTCTTGAGATACTTTCAACTTTTTACTTTCTATTTAGGTTTTGAGAGTAGAACATTTCTAGAGCCTGGAAAACACTTATGAAATCGATGTTTAAGCATTTAAATACAGAACTTATTCAAATACTAGGAAACGAAAAATCCTGATATTTATAGTTTGAATCATTTTAGAGTTACAGTTGATTTCACGCATGACGTTTATTCAACTATACACATTTTGGAACATAACTTGATGACAACAAGTGTTTGGAAACTAAGTTTCTTTTTTAATGAATAGACAGTCGACATTGGATGTGCTGAAGTATGTAACTCCAAGGAATTTTATATTCAAGTGCGAAAATTAAATTACACAGAGATTGTGAGGCGATTATGGAATTCTAGCTCAGTAAGAAAGATAATGGTAACTGTCAGCTAAAATTATATTTTAACAACAACCTTTCTCTAACAAGAGGTAATTTTACTCATTAATAGAATATATATATATATATATATATATAGGTCACTGCCATCAACGCAATAGAGAATCAGTAGCCAAGTGAACGTGATTGATTTAGTCTAAAGTGTAATTTCGTTGAAATGGGTCTCAAATTTGTACTAACCTTCATTTTGCGGAAATTTTCGATATGATTTAACAAAAAATTCAAGTACAGTTTGCTTGATCAATGTTCGGCTTATAGTGCTACTGTTAAACGCCCGTTTTTTGAAAAGCTAATAGTTAAACATGTATAACAATGCAAGCAAGCGACATACTCTGTACATTAAAGTTCGATAAATACACAACGGGCTGGAATGCCAATCATATAGGAGATACTTATTTTACAAATAAAACACATAACGCTAATAGAAACTATTGGTAATACTATTTATTTAAGTTAATATCGCATGATAGTTCTGGTCCAGAGGTCAAGACACAAAATCTATTTGAGATTTATTATTATTATTTAGTTTATATCTAATATTAAATACCAATCAACTACAAATTTAATTCATATACATTGGTTGTTTCGATCTTTCTATGGTAATTTAGGACTGTAGTTGACTTGTCTCTTTCGGCGTGTGTGCATTCTGTGCGGATTTTCTAGACATAGTCACTAAGTCATCAGCATTTTGAGCAGAGATGGATGGTAGCTAGCAGTGGAATCAAGAATGCACGTTTCGTCTTATCTGGGAGTAATTAACTAGATGTACCTGAATCCCAAAGTTGATGTTCACCGATCGATTTCAGTTCTAAGCATCAATAGATAGATCCAAACAACCGATATATGTGAATTAAAATTCACCCCGTTGCACAAGCTAGTAGCTATTTGGGCCCAATTATTAAGTGGATGACATGATGGCGTTTAGAGCGAGCTTTACTGGTTTCGATATCAGAGTGAACATCAACTCTAGGATGCAGGTACATCCAGCTGTTGATCCCCCAGTAGAATGAAACGTGAGCCTTGGATTCTACTGCTAGACCCCATTCATCGGTGCTGACAACTAAAAATATATTGCATATAGTAATTAAGATAAAAGAGGTTATTTGAATTTATCTAACAATATACTATTAAACGTTCGTATACAAATCACTTTATGGAATGATGGAGATTTTAAGCGCAGGCAGATGAATAGTTTAAGCGGTGTTATATTCAATGGCTTATATGATATAATCAACGCCTAACTAATGTTGTGTAGTTGCTGACATCACTTGAATAATCAATTGGAGCCTAAAAGTCTTGAAAGTTTTCGTCACCCTACTTTGAAATCTGACTGCATCATCAGAAAGAATAGTGAGTACAACATGTTGAGGAAAACTGAATAGATTACACGTGAAGCAAGGTACAAAAAGTTATTCTTTTCGGCCTAATTATTCAAGCAAGATCATTGTTCATACATCGTTATCTAGGTCGATTAAGGCATCTCTAAACGTGTATTTTAGTTGTACGTAACTGAGAATAAAGACTATCATTCGGTTTTTATCTCGCTTCTGAGCTAATCAAGTATCAGAAAAGTGTGTAATAACTTAATAAAACTGCAGTCGAAACTGTAGATAAAAGTTCTTACTGTTGAACTATTTAGTTTGGAACCCACCAATCCGAAGTATATATATCAATCCACGTTATTTGTAACATAGTCCGAACACTTATAAGTAATGTTTTAATAGGTTTAGCTACCTGTCAAAGCTTACAGCAGATGACATCTCAAGAAAAATTCCGTAAATTATTAAGGATTTTAGAACTTGGACTATGATTATTTACAAGCTTTTACCTAAGCTGAGTAACAATGCATATGTATATCAAAGATGTCACTTTTAAAAGAATACAACTATACATTAATGAAAACAGTAAGTTATAAACTGGTATGGATTAGAGATATGTCTTTCTTTAATCATCAATCAAAATGTATTTGAACTAGCAATCTGATTGTTTTTAAAAATAGTCAAAACAATTAGAAATACAACTTTAGCCAACTGAAATTGGCTCGAAACAGTTAACTTCTTTGATAAATTCTGGTTAATGCAGTAAGCGGATAAACGAGGTGATATAAATTTGCATAAAACATTACAAACATATTGATTGAACATTTTCTTATCAGTATAGGGGTGTGGAGATTGTTGAGTTTAGATTAATATCATGAATGGATCAATGTTAGACCATTATTGAAAACCTGGTAGCACTGGACGGCCACCTCGTTCTAATATGGGACTCCTCAATAGTGAGCATCGACGATCCAGCACGCAGAACTCAAACTCCGGATTGTCCTGTGCTACCAGGTTTTCCATGGTGGTCTAACAATGATCCATTCATGATATCAATCTATACATTTTCTTGTAAAGATATTCTATATTATTGAAAAATAAAAGGTCAAAATAAACAAGTTGAAATATAAGAATCATATCACCTCAATAATATCAAAGTAGTAGTGTAAGTACAAATTGTTTTTGAACATTAGGGAGAAAGTGCATTTTTGTATGATTAAGGCTTAAACAAACTTACATATTTGTAGGTATCACTACCAAGGTTTGACTTGATAAATATTCATCCCCTTCACTCAGACATCTTTTCTATGAAACAACAGTGGTTCAGTTAAGGTTAATTTTATGATTTGTTACAAATGTGACCTACTCTTATTGGGTAGTTTGAATTTATTTCTTTCAGGAGCCATTTATTTTCACAGCCTAAATTGAAAATCGCGATTACTTCACCGTAAATATGTGCTGCCATACACATGTAGATTAAAAAACATTAGGATTTGATGTAACCGTTTATTTAAAACATGAATACTAATGAAAAAATAAAACTTCATATGCCTCTCTACATGTGTTGATTGCCTAAACATCTGTCTTAATTATATGGAATTGGGCTAATGAAAAAAAACCAACTAATTCATTTTCATTAGAATGGGGTTTGCGGAGATTATAGCAATTTTAATAGTTGAATTCATGAGTCGATCGTGGATGTGCAATATTCAGGAGTTCCATACTAGGATGAAACGGCCGTCCAGTGCTTCCAGGTTTTCACTGGTGATCTAGCTTGGATCAACTCATGGATTTAACTATTATAGTTCATTTTTCGCTATCATTATATCAAGAATAACTTAACGAGCTATTTTTTTAGTTTTTGAGAAAATGTGGCAATTATTGCATACAAACGACCAGAAACTCTTTCACAAAAGAAAATAAATCGCAAAAAATAAAAGCAATCCACCATTTCTTACCCTAATACATTAAAGGTCAATAATGAGTTATAAAGAAACCTAGAAAAAGAAAAAAGAAAAGCAAAAAACAATAGACGGAACAAAAGAGCATACTTACTTTACGTAGTAATTTGTCCCAGGACGAAGGTCTTGCAGTGATATGTAAGTAGCTTCACCGCTAAGTAAAAAATTAGACAAAATACAGAATGGGGATGTTAGGAAAATATTTAGAAAGTGAGGTGAAAAAAATGATAATCAGTGAATCATTTGAAAACAGACTGTTGAGGTGATAAAGTTGATTTGATAAAAATATGATTTACTCGAAAGTAAATGGGAGTTGTTTATAAATAATAAATTCACCTATAGAATAGGTTATTCCCATCTTAAGTAAATGAATTTCAAAAGAGAGTATAAAATCGACTAATTGGTTGAATTCATTATATAAAGTCAAAGAAGTCATTTATATTTCCAAAATGAACAATCAAGATTGTATGATTATTTAAATAAAAACTATTCAACGAGGAATAACAAATTGAACTATCGCCTACCTCGTTATCCATAGGAAACCAAGGACGATCAAATGTAAACATGAATTCTTTCAATAAAGTCACTGACTTTTGGAATAAGGCATGACGACAGATGCAGACTTTTATTTTATTTATTTAAATACATAAACATTAGTACAAGGAGGCATCAAATAGATATGCGTCACATAAATCATTCGATTTGTATGATGGCTGGGATACTGCCCAGGTGCCCAAACCGAAACAGGTGTTCTTGGGGGCCATACCCTGAGCCTTTGAACTGAAGGTCTAATCCAAAAGGTAGTGGAGCAACGTCAGAGGATGAAGTCTCATGGTAGTCAGTGATCAACAATTGGTTCACACGCCATTTGTTCTCTCAGGATACTGAAGCCCATTTACACCACTGATTTGGAATCAGGGTTTTCCAACTTCCCTAGATGAACCCTCCGTGTCCACCAACCTGGTTAAGGCGCCGGACATTCGCTTTTCGTCCTCTCAATTTCGTAAACAACACCCCGCCACGAGAAGGCAGTGAGCATGACTTCCCCAGTAGTGGTTGCATGCACCTGGCCATGTGAGAACATTTCGAGAGGGATAGTTGACTCTCTCTACTCCCGGCCGTACCAGTGCATCTGGGGGCCGGATGCAGACAATTTGGTTTTGATACGCCAAATAATTGTCATTCATAATGGGAGAGTTTAGACTTAAGATTAACGGCAACAGTACAGTTTTATTTAGATTTTGTCTTCCTGTAAATCTTGCGTTACACTGCACCTTATTACTCTTTATACATTGACTTCATTCCCTAATTCTGTTTGAGCTTCTACAATCATTATTAAAACAATTGTTTCGACTCGTATCATTTTCATCTCGCTAGTTTCATGTGAATAATGACAAAATGGACCAATGCACATTTGACATATAATGACTGACATTACTAACTCAAGTCAAACTCCCAACAATCCGTGACCATTATCCTTTGTTATTTGTGGTATCTATTGCATGTCAAATATGGTTAAACTCCACTTATCATGAATTCTCATTCGCCAGAAATGTGAATCAATCGTCTGGAGGTTGAGGGTTTGATAATTGACCCGAGGATCCTGATTTCAACCACCAACAGGTCATGGATTCGCACTGTTAAAGAGCTCTATACTACGATGAACCAGTAATTCAATGCTTTATGGTTTTCAAATATATCTGTTTCGCTCTCAGAAAGATTGAACTCTACTGACCTAAGTTTCGTATTAGAACTTCAGTGGCTATCTTTGAAAGTACTTACATACTAGTAAAGCGTGTTTTCGTAAAGATTGTTCAATCGGATTTAGTTTCTCTTACGGTGACCTCATCATTAGCATAAAATCAATACAAGAATCTCTGTTATTCTAGTTTTATGTAATTCAGTTGCATAAATGAAGTGGATGAATATTCAAACTGATGATCTAGTGGAAAGAGTTTAATGTGCTGGAATCGATAAGCCTGGATTTCATAGATTACTATCAAATGCTCTTGGGCACAGCCAGTAGAGATAATTCGCTGTTCCCGAAATGCTCACCTGTCTAAATTTTTATACCCCCCCACTCACACGGAAATATTCTATTCAACGTCATCATACGAGACGATGACAACATAAAAATTTGGGTGTGAAAGGGGATAATTGGCACATAAACACAGAGATTGAACCTAACAAAGCTTAAGAATTCTGATACTTAGACAATGTTGAAATGAATTTCAGGAGTTTATTAGCACGAATGACGTATAAATCCTGTTTGGCATTTATGACAATAATTTACAAAGCAAACAAATATTTTCATGGTTTACATCATTAACTCATCTTCATTAGACACCATCAGCAGAAACCAGAAAGCCCCGGAGAGCGATTTCGTCCCACTAGGGAACTCCTCAGCAGTGCACATAGACAACTCCACTGAGTATTCAAACCATGACCTACGATCTCGTATGTGAACCCCTGACCTCTAGACTATTGAATTGATATACCCGATGATGTACATGTTTAACTTCAGTTAATTGACTACATTGAGTGACCAACTTCCATTGCCTGTGTGGATAACTGTCCCACATCCAACATCGTTGAATTTCAATAGTCAAAGCTTCTCAATGAGATCAAATCAGTTGTTCAGTGCCTCATGGTTTTCGACGGTGATCTCAGTACGATCAACACCCTATGTAAACTATGATAATAAACATCTTCAACCATAAACAAAAATATTTACACATATATTCATAACTTTAAAAAATATTAAATTACTAAACAACAAGCAATAGGTACAATCTCACTTACATGAAAACACATTTAAAGTTTATTGTATTGCCTTTTTCAGCTAAATATAATTCAAATCGTAATGTATCCAAATCTATTGTTATTTGATAACGTTGACTGTCATCATTATTACTAATATCATTGTTAGAAGAAGTAGTAGTTGCAGTTTTTATTATTGTTGAGATATTATTAGTACTATCATCCAACTCGTGAACGTTATAATTAACATTATTATCATAATTAATGTTTGAATGTATTAAATCGGATTTACAATTATCCCCCTTTATGGTTGTTGACGATGGTTTACATTTATCGCGTAGATGATTTTTTGATGGAGAACTGGGAACTTTAAACAATTTGCCATTATTATTATTATTATTATTATTATTATTATTGTTATTATTATTACTGCTTTCTGACAATAATGATTGCAATGATTGGCAAGAACCAACGGACAAAATTGTAGCAGTAGAATTATTAGTGGCAGCAGTTGTAGTATTGGTTGTTAATATGGATGGATTGGTAGGGATGTAATTCGTACTTGTTGTTATTGTTGTGATTGATGTGCTTGTTGCCGGCGATGATGCTGATGACGATTCAACATCAGCAACAGATGAAAGAATTAAATTTTGTGGAAATGTCAATTGAATTAATGCACTATCGCATTTAACTTCACTGATCTGTAAAAGAAATAAATAAATGAGGAATATCTAAAGCAATGAAAAGTGTATGTAAGTTATCGGGTCTAGAAAAAAGTAGCCGTCTAGAGGTTACGCGTCCGCATGTGCGAGAACAAAGGTCCAGGTTTCAATCACTAGATGTGGGGTTGTGAATGTGCACTGCTGAGAAGTCCCATACTAGGAAGAAACGACCATCTACTGTCTTCAGATTGTTAATGGCGGTTTAACTAAGATTAGTTTGAGATTTAAAACTGTGAAAGAAACAAATTGATGAAAGCTTATATACACACAAGGCAAGCTTATTTACCACCATATGTGTATGGATTACAGTAAACAATTCTCAGCATAAAACACCCAACATCGGAACGAATTCCTCCGACGCATCAGTTGTGTCCACTAACCATAAAAATATATGTGATGTGAACAAATCTAGTTTCTCCAAAGAGTATATTGTAAGAATAACGTACAGCATTTAACTTCTTTGCGATAGGTTTCAAGTTTTTGGGTAAGAATGTAAATGCATTAACTCAAACCCATTTCCCGAAACTTCTGTCCAAATGTAATGAAAAGAAAAAGGATTTTGACTCAATATTGGAAATTTTCAACCGACGTTGTAAAGATGAATTCAATGACAAACTGTGCATCGTTAATGACTAATTGTCAAGGACAAGAGACAGTTTTTATAAGTACCGATATATGTCACACTGTATCATCGTCGATTGGAACTGCAATAAACATGGTTTATTCCCCTATCTTCTAAGTTACTCAAAGACCATGAGGGCCGAACAGTTATTAGAGGGGAGTTATGGGTGCTTCCGTTATCAGTCAGTCAGTCAGCACTGCTTTCGTTATAGGCATTTTATATCATTGTTTCCAGTTTCCAAAACAGTTAGTTGAATTAAAGCCTAATAATTAATAGTTTACAAATTTCTCTAAAAATTTTCATTGATGCTATAGTTCACTTATTTTTTTAATCAACCTTAAAAATCGAGAAAAAGAACAAGAGTACTATTTAGAATGTAGTTTTATTGTTTTCTATTCACTTTAAACATTGTTTCCTCTACCTTGATTAATTACTGTATAGTGACCAGTTCCGTGTTTATATAGTCATTAAAGCTAACCGAATTTTATCTATTGAGATAAATAGAACATAGGTCACTACTCAGTGATCAATTAATTTAAATAACTCGATTCGAAAGGGGGACAGTCAGTTACGACTTCAATCATTCAGTGTTAACACCTCTGACTGTGAAGCTAATTGACACAGACCTGAAACCCATACGAAGCAAAATTTCCCTAAAGATTGTAAATATGATTTATTGATTATTATTATTATTATCATCAACTTTATTCAATATTATATTCAATACTATATATTTCTCAGCGCAAAGTAATTCAACAAGTTTCCGTTTCTTTCTTCTTGGTCGGTCCTGGCGATAAATATTGAGTGATCACCAGTTAGATGTTAGCAGTTCAGTAAATGAACATCTGAATAATGTGCATTCTTTTCGTTGTATATTGCCAGCAACCACATTGTCTCTTATTGAGTTTTTTGCAACTTTGACAACGAAAGGTTGTACACTTTTCAGAAACGCAGCAGTATAGGTTATGCGATGAATAGACATAATGATATATTAAAACAAACAAAAATAGATAACCTGTTGAAATATCTAGATGGCAGGAACAGGTAGCCCAGATGCTCAAGCAGGCCGCCCTCTTGATGAGTCTCTAGATCAAACAAGGTTTCTTATAGAATACCTTAAGTCATCTAACATTGTTCTTTCTAAATTTATCTCACATATACACAAAATGACAGCATTAAAGCAGTATCATACTACATTGAAATGACAATCATAATGCCAAAACTCAGAGCGGTTGCTTTCCCCGAAATAAATGATCTAATCAAATCAATTTACTGTTACGATTATTATTATTTTTATTATTATTATCATTTGCAGAGAATACAGAACTAACCGAAGCTTTAACAACCTTTTTCTTCATATCAGTCATACATTGATTAAATTCACTGAATACGAAAGATATTTACTAAAATTAAACAGTAAGTCAATTCATTAACTTACTTGTGGTGACAGTATATCCGATATTATATTATGAATAATCTTCTCTTGAGTATTCCATTCGTTATTCAGATTGTAATCAGCATGATGTCCATTGGTATTAGTCTCTGTATCATTTTCATTTGCCCCAGGTCCATTTGTATTAACATTATTATTACTATTACTTAAATAAACATCATAAGAGTCCATAGGTTGTTCCAGCTGTTGTTGCTGAAGATGATGATGACTGTAACATTGTGAATTTAATAGACAATTTGACGGTGAACAATAATCAGTAGGTGTTTGTACTGTCGGTAATAATACATTGATTGGAAGGGGAGAACAAACTGATGTGTCTCCAGTTGGTTTATTTTCAATTTCTATCTCAGAATCTATATCTACATCTTGTGCTACAACTGGAGCACGATGACAGTGATGATATTGTGAATGGGGTTGATAAATTGATGATGAATGATGGGATTGATGGTAATGATTTATATGATTACTACCATTTTGTAAGCTACAATTGTGTTGTTGATATTGAGAATAATGTTCTGAATGTGATTTCGACGATCCAGTTGTAGATGGTTGATTCCGAGCCGAATTTTGAGAGTATTTATTGAAACCGAAGCCAGCTGAACGATGTGGTCGAAAACCACTGTAACCTTCAAAAATTGTTTTGAAATATAAAATATTACGCATATATATAAATATATATATGTATATATGACCACACTTACAGTTAGTATTATTATTATTTGGAGTAGTAGTAACTGTTGGTGTTAAGGACTAAAGTTTAACCAGTATTGAATAACACATCGGCGTATGAAGTGAAAAGTACTGGGTTAAAGTCACTATCTGAATACCACAGCCGAGGTTTAGCTACGTCTAGTTGACGAGTGTCATATAGACCATATCACGTGTTCTTGGTTCCACTATTAGCTACGACCCATCTATTCTAAAGAACTTTATATTTCCAGAGTCTCTGTAATATTCAGATAATGAAGGTTCGTAGCTCAAGGGGTTAATGTTGTTACATTCCTTGAACTGGATACTTTAATAATGAAATTTTACTAGATTTTTTGGATAAGATCATAGCTAAAAAAACTCAAAAATGTGGAACACTGGAATTTCTGTACAAATGACCAATAACCTGTTACACCAACATTGAATTAAGCTGATTACGTTATCACTGTAAATTCTCTTTGAGTACCTTATAACCTGACCTTAACTCTTTAATAAGTAATATGCACAACGAGATACGCAGCCATAGAAGAAACAAACAGAATTAGCAGAATAAATTGTTTTTATTGCAAGAAACACTATATCGAAACACGTAGCCGCACCTAGATCTCTTTCGGTTCTGACATCACTTAGCTGTCAAACAATACAATGCATTTTCGTCAGCATCAGTGGATGTGCACAAATGTTCAACTACGAAGTAGCTGAAATCTTTGACATAAGCAGACCAAAGACTTCTTACGAGCCTGAGATTCAAGTCACTTAACAGTCAGTAAACGTAAGGAAATGGATGCAATTTACCAACCCATGAAAAAAATGGTTGAAAAAACAAAAAGGTCAGAGATCAAGGAAAATCAAGGTAAATGTACAGAAACGACAACACAGTTATGGCTTCGGATATCTTACAACACATTGCCAAGTCAATAATAATCAATTAGGATTACCTTGACCTAGAATCCAGGCTTTTTCATCTTTGAATAGCTTAGCAACATGTGGTTTGAGCTAACACCACAATTGCCGGCAACAACCGTTCGAAGATTTTAGCAACAGAACAAGTAATCAGATATATATGGCGAAATAATAATGGCTCACTATCTATCCACAGTTTTCGTGCTGATATTGTGCTGTCCAGAAAGATAATAACAGTCCCACGATAAAGATATTTAGGACAGAAAATGTCATTATTATGGTCGGGGGTGGGGTTGTGATTGTAAAGTTTTCATAGCTTTAATTACTAAGTGATCTTGGTTAAACCACGGCTGAGAATCAGGAAGTATTGGACAGTTTTTAGTCCTAGTATAGGACACCACAGTAGTGTGTATCCACGACTCCATAGGGGGTCGATTCAAAAATCTTAGGTCTCGCGTGAGAAACCAAAGGTTCTGAGTTTGAGTCCCGCGTATGGGATCGTCAATACAAACTGCTGCGGAGTCTCGTACTAGGATGATACGACCGTACAATGCTTCCAGGTTTTCAATAGTGGTCTAACACTGATCGGTTCATGATCTCAACTAAAACTCAAAAGTCTCCACAACCTTATACTGAAAAACCGATTTAATTTAAAGAGAAAAACAGACAAACTGATACCTTTACACCAAATTTATTATTTACAACTCCAACTTTAGTACAATGGGCGCGATTACGTCTTAACCTCTTCTTCCTTTCCCGTTAACTAGAGCGAGAAATCCAGTTTGTATAGAAAGTTTCTTGATAGAGATCTCAGAAGAATTAGTTGACATTCAAGTGAATTTAATTATATATCGATCCAATCATTATTAATTACAGAATTTTATTAATTGAACAATTTTTACTCAATATTAAATAACAATGAATTCATCAATACAAGGAAAAATGTATTGAAAATCAAATAACTAATTACAACTGAAAAAATACACCGACACTTAATGAACAGGATTTATTCTGAATAAATTAATACCGAATAAACCTGTTGAAAGTTGACTGAATAAAAATCACCTTAGATTGATTCAGGAAATTTAAGACTGATTTTCTTCCTCATACGTTAATATCCTTAGCACAAACAAACACTAGTCACAATCCATCTTTGCTTATGAAGCTTGTTATCTAAAGCAATATCGAGGCGGTTTGCACAGGATGCACATATGTCAACATGAGACTGATCAGTTGCGGTCCTAAACAACAACGGGAAGGTACAAGCAAATAATACCTAGTGTATATTTATTTTATTTCCCTGTGATACATAGTTGTATGGAACTGTAAAACATTTAGATTATGGAAATTAGTGCTCAATCTTTCCGTTGATATCATTCAATAGTAAATAAGCTTTGATCATCAAATGTAACTACCAATAAGTGAAATCCTCAGAATTCAGGAGTTATACTCAGTTACTGCAGATTATCTATGATTGTCAAAATATCAAAGCTGATTAAGAGTAAATTCGTGAATATTCGAGTTAATAAACGCTATATGTCTTTTTTTTAACAAGGTTGGTTTCTACGGGACGGGTTTGCCAGCCTCATGCCCAACCCTCCTCCTTTACCCTGCCTTGTGACCGACAGTAACCCTAAAAGATCTACAGGAGGATGCCATTGGCAACAAACTACTGTGGGAGAGAACAAATCAGCTTTCATCTGAAGAGGAAACTAGGAAAAGACGTTGAAAGTGGATAGGGCATACCTTGAGAAAATCATCAAACTGAGCGAACTTGGAATACTGAAGGGAATCGGAATGGAGGAGGATCAAGAAACACATCGGGTTGTGAACTGGAAGCAGACATCAAAAGAATGAATAGCAACTGGAAAAAAACGTGAAAAGATTGTCCAGGACGGAGTTGAGTGGAGAATAACGTTGGGAGGCGTAAGTAAGTACACTGCATGTTGATATCCAGCTACATGAATGATTGCAATAACTTCAATAACTTTTGGTTGGTTTTTACCTATTTAGATATTTCAACGGTGTTATACGATATATTAATCCGAAACGATACAGGTCTGGGTACTTTCAGGTTATGATCTTTCACACTTTGAAACTTGGAAAATTCATTACAAAGTTTTTTCAGTAACGAGTACACAATTATTATTATTCACTTGAATGTACCTAATGTATTCATCTCATATGGAAATGCAAATTGGTAAAATCAAGAAACAACTTACTTTTATTACCTCCGCCAGCAACATTAACACCAATAACGCCGCCGCCACTGATACCTCCACCACGTCTCCTTCGATGAAATGGAAATGTGGCTTGAGGATAAGAAAAATGGGGAGAGAAGGCGTTTAAACTTGATGTTGTTGCACGCCCATTACTATCTGAAGCAAATGTAGTATTAGTGACGTGAGAATTTGTAGTGTAAACAATGGAATCAGTGTTAGTGTAGGCAGCAGTAGTAGATGTAGTAAGTGTGGTATGTGTACAACAATCAGAACTCATATTGCCATCTATAAAATGCTTATCTTTCATTGAAATGTGAGATCTACTTTCAAAATTATTAACGTCAGTTAGATTTGTACAGTTGGCAGTTATAAAAGATGTTTTACAGGATCCAACTGTGAATTAATTAAGCGAAAATGAAAAAAAGAGAGGAAGGAAGAATAAAAAGCAGCAAATATGAACAAAAAACATTTATATCACAATGAGAAACTTTATATTATCATCTCATTATTTTTTATTGGATTTTGATGAGTGTTGGTTGGCATATGTGCATCATGTGTGGATTCCATTGATATAGTCGTTTTTCAAAAGCTTTTTATTAAATAAACATATTATAGTTAGCAATGGAGTCCAGAATACTCAGGGGGTAACGCACGAGAATTCTAAGCGAATGACAGTTGGCTCGAGTCCCGATGCAATTATCAACACTGAGAAGCAGGGAAATTTAGTTGACGAGTCAAAGATAGGACGAAATTCGTGTTCTGGATCGCAATGCAAGTCACATTACGTCTATTCAATGCGAAAACTAACTAATTAAGGCAATGACTGTGATCTACAATACGAGGCGCATAGAGAGTGATTAAATTGAAGCTATTATAATTCACTATTACTGAGTTTAGAATTCAAAAGGGGATAAATTTTCCGATGTCAGTCAACTTGTGATATAACATGACCTTTATCCAATCGTAGCTGTGAATTATTGTGCCATTTCCACAGTAGGATCTGATGTTAGTAGCACTTAATTTAATCATACGAATATTCGCCCATTCACTACTAGTGATCAATTTTGAGATGACGTTTCACATGTTTTGGTGTGGAACTATGTGTAATGTACGAACAACCCAAGTTCAGATGGTATATATTAATTAATTTACAGGGAACACAGATTGTCTTCAATCTATCATCCCCATCTAATGTTTGTTTCGCAACCCAAGCTGATTGTAAACTTTTCTATAGTTTCTCTGAAACTCTGAAACTCCTGCCTTCAGGCTTCGAATCCAGCAACTCCGACGCGACGCTCCGATGCAAACTACTTACAAACAATCTTGTCCACCACACTAGGATTAATGTGGTTTTGAGACGTGGATGAGTAATCCTGGAACGGGGCATAAAGGTTCACATTTCTAATCCCAGTAAAATGTTGATTTGAGGCAACCCTAATTCAATGTCATCGGTGACAGCTACATCACTCATGACATGTGATTAAACTCCACCGGTATTGTATAAGAAACAAGTCACTTTGAAATCTAAATAGTGAGATGTTTGGTCAATTTATTAAGCAATTGCAATTATTTTGTAATAGCACACAATAGGTTGTTTTGTCGTAAATAGTAGGTTTAATTACAAAGACAAACGCAAAACTCATAAAAGATATAGAGTATCTACAACAACCGTGAAGAAGGTTGTTCTAATCTATTATTATAAAAAAGGTTAGAATAATGGGACATATGTTAAGTGCCTATGATTCCATGCCTATCTATATCTATGATTCTGTTTTTCTTCAGAAAAATAAACATGGGAAGGCAGATATGGTGAAAAATGAGTATATATATATATATAGAGAGAGAGAGATTACACTACCGCTGTAGTTACAACAACAATTGTTGATTAAAATGTTACTAAGAATGTAAATTCTAGAATGACGGCGGATCATGACCGACTGAAGACATATTCTTCTGAGAACGCACGCAGACGTCCAGATTACACAACCGGAAATGTAACCATGGGATACCAACTCATTGGTCTTAATGTTAATTTCCCGCTGCGAGACCTGAAGATCATGAGTCCGATTCATAATCGAGTCGCGTATGCGCATTGCTGTGGAGGCTCCTATTAAGATGTAGCAGCTGTCTGATGACTTTCAAATTTTAATGGCTATTTAATTAAAGCCATTTCATGATGTAAAACAACAAAGTCAACAACTCCCATATATGTGAAGATATTGAGATTAAGAAATTAAAATAGATTTCATAAGATTAAATAATTATTATTTACAAATTTTAAGTACGAAATTGAAGTAATATTAAGCTGTAGACCATATTAAATGTCGAATTTACTTAATAGTTACACAGTAGATAATCTGACTAACAGTACCAAATAGTGTTTAAGGAAAATATGAAGAGGACTTAAATTCGGAAAAAGATAATATACAAGTTAAAGTAAATCTGTGAAAATCACCTACCTACAAAGAGATCTTTTACGTTTAAATCGATTATATCGTCCTCCTCAAGTGATATGTAGAGCAAGAACTAAGCATAACAGTCAAATCACAATTTAATTGGCGATTAGGTGATTGACAGAACTTGTTTCTTTCAAATTCTTGTTTCAAATGATAGATAATTTGAATAACATCAACAGCATATCACTGTGTCACATGACACACGCATTTTGGTAGACCTGATTCATATATTTTGGTAATTACTACTTTAGAACAACACATATAAGCGAACAATTGTTTTCAATTAGATCGTCATCAGGCTTTACTCTAATATACATGAATATTTATACGAAAATTGTTGTTCTAATTTTCACAATGGGAATCTTTAATATTCTAATTACTACTTTGTTGTTCCGTGCTCTCTGTTTTCATTTTACTTTCTCTAGTTGTAGATAATTATCATTAATTCGATCTGGCACACGAATTGACCTTAATTACCCCGTTCATAAATCAACGGGCTGTCCATTTAAGAAATATTAAAAATTCCCGGCTGATGCATCGGATCGCTGTAATATATGTACTACCTAAAGAACTACTGAACTAGTATAATCAAAACTTTCTATCACATGTTTGTTCTGTACATTTAATGTTACTATTTATTATCAAATTGATCATGCCTGTAAACTGGCGTGAATTCTGTAATTATTATTTTTAGAATATAAATTATTATTATTATTAATTAATGGTTATGTTTATTTTCTCATCTAATCTTTTATATATTGAGGATGTCGTTTAATTAAGAAAACCCTTGTTACAGGTGTCATTTGTGTGGTTTTCATTTGACGGTAGTTCATTTAAGGAGAGTAATTAGGCCATTAATTCAGTCTTGTGAAGAACATTTTATTAACACAAATCATTTATCCATTAGCACTTCATTAATTATTTTAACAACCACATGTATATCATTTTCAAGAACCCAAAACTATCCCATTTAATATCATTAGACATAAAACTGATGAGTTAAATCCTAAATAAGATTGTTGGTATAAAATAGGGAAAGGAATCTCATATTACTGTGAATTATATGTTTATTGGTGTTTAGTTTTTAAATGAAAATTCCTCAGCAAAACCATATTTAATGAAAATATAGCTTCATAGTAGAAATTAAAAGCTACTTTTATAAATAGATGTATTTATTTGCAAGTTGTATTCGTCACAGATTGACGCCACTTAGGATATCACTAGGAAACAATGGAGCACTGAACAGCTAATAAGACGTAGCAGCTGTGTTCAGCGCTCACTGGATACTAATATTACCTCGACTGAAATCAATTTTTCACGAATACAACCTGAAAATTAGAATAATCTTTTAAAATACCCTTTCAAATAAATGTATATTCATTATTAAGGAATAATTTTCACAATTACATGGAATAAAACGTTGTGAATATGAGATATCAACCTCCAAAAAAAATGTATCTACAACATGGCTCAAATGTTATGACATAATATTCAAATGCATACGTAAAGAAAAATAACTATTGACCAACCTGTTTTACAATTTATACTACCATCATCATTCTCTGCATCTTGGTCATCATTATCGTCTTCATTGTTTTCATATGGATCATCATCACGTGTAGAAGAGATTACGACATCATCATCATCAGTAGAATTCGTAGTTTGAGTAACATGTTTATCAATAGTTCTTATAGTACTGTTATTATTACTGTAAGGAACAGTATAATTATGACTACATTTTATTAATGATGGTTTCTTTGAACTGTTAGTATTATTCATTGCATTTTGTCTAATGTCTGTGACAGTTTTCGAGTGATCTATTGGATCATTGATACACTAAAACAAAAATATATAAATGTATATATTTTTTCGATTAAAATATAGACATGAACGAAGAATGTACTTCTCAAATAATTCCTCTAGATGTTACTGCAATAAATCCAAATTAATCATCCAAAAGATGCCCAAGTTTAAGGGAAATACATCATTTTGGAATTACGGCATATAAATTTAAGGTTATTAGCAAAAAAGATTAAAACGCTTAACATTGAAATGTCTTATGAGCAATGTTAACTTGTAACAGTTTATATGTACAATATGCAATTGTAAGAATAATACTCAAAATAAATTTAGATAACATAGAGTGGAAGAAGTAATGATGTAATTACAAATCAGATCAAATATGTGATGAAAGACAACATAGTGTATGAATTGAGTAAAGAATAGTAAAATGAATTGAGTGATAATTAAATTTCTGATGAGTTTAAGAAATCGAAAATAATAACAATAATATTTCAATAAGATGCAATTCTTAGAATCCTGATGAGAAACCATGACTAATGGAGGCCAATCATATCCGATGCGAAGCAGTTATCAATCAAAGATGGTCACTCAAAACCGTCAGTCGATTGAAGTAAAATATACTTCATTTTGGATGCAGGCTCAGCGGTCTACAGGTTAGGCGTTCGCGTGAGAAACCGAATGTCCTGGTAGATTACAGCACATATTAATTCGCTTTTAATCAGTATAGGGTTGTGAAAATTGTTGAGTTTTAATTGAGACCATGAACCGATCAATGTTAGACCACTATTGAAAACCTGGAAGCATTGTACGGTCGTGTCGTCCTTGTATGAGATTCCTCAGCAGCATGCATTGGAGATCTCATACGCAGGTGTCAAACCATGGACCTTCGGTCTCACGCGAAAACACCTAACCTCTAGGCCAATGAGTTGATATCCAATGGTGTTAATATTTAATTTCAACCAATCCATGGTATCGCCTCTATATACCTATGAAGATTATCAGTTGGAAGGAAAAAATAATTACACTGATTTAACTATCGATGCATTTGAAGTGATCCTCAAATGCGATGGAACTGGCAAGCGTTTAATGCCGAAGTTAAGCAAAAAGTATGAGGAGAAAGTAAGGTGTTAGGACTCTTAGAAAAATCAGTCCAATCTACGATACAAATCATATAAAGATATATATGAGTAGTTTGATTTAGGTACTAAACTGTAGGTGGTCGTTAAATAATTAATATGAAAATTAATCATCGACTTAGTCACTAGCGATTTCCATTAAGTATCTTTTTTCGATTCTTTACCTTACAGTACTAATTTACACAACCCAAACATTTTTATATGCCTACTCTCTGTGTTTAGATAACTGACAAAATATTTGAATTAGGATGGAATTTATTTCTTCATGATGTTAAACAGTATGAATGGATAAAATAGTCCTAGTTAATTTTCATCGAATATAAAGTAGTTTAGCATTAATGAGCAACACTCTGATGCAAACCGTTGTCTTAGTTAACAGAGGTCGAAATTATCCCGTTTTTTAAATTCAGAACTGAATTTTGTTCGGTCTTTGTTAACATATGTGAATCCTTTTCAGATTGCCTCACTAAAAGCACTTTTTACATCATAAATAATAGATGGGTTGTGACTAGTGAAAAACATACGTTATGAATTCCACTGCTAGCCAACATCCATCCATGAGGTCTCAGTTTCAAACTCACTTCACATTACCTACCTTGTATTTGGTAATCAGGTAGGCACATTCACTACTAGTTTCAGATTTCAGTTGTACCTCAAAGTTTAGTGTATGGAAATTTGTACTTGATAAAACAGTTACATAATAAAGGGATAACAACAATCATATTTTTTTACTATTGGTAATATATATCGAAATTACATGATTACTACTTTACATGCTTGTACAAATTCCATATGTATTATTACTATTACTAATAAGAAAGAAACAAAACTTCCTGGACCAGAATATAGATGGAAAAAAATTAGGCGAAAATATAGTAATTAGGTATCTTATATTTGTTATTTATTACATAATCTTATCAATACATTAATCTCAGATTGTTGTAAAAAGAAAACTAGTGATAGGAGAACATGTAGGCACCATAAATTGTATCTGTGTATTCACATACACATAGAAACCTATTATAGGTAAGTGTACTGTACAAAATGACTGCATTTTGAATTTTATCTAATTTCTCCACAGTAGAATTTTCAGTTTGAAAGACAAAGAAAACTCACAAGTAAATACTTATAAAAAAGAAACTACTACTAACACTAGATCATCCATTTTTTTTGCGCTACGCGTATACGCTATACGCAGTTAATAAATAGGGGTGTGTCCATGTGTACGTGTGTGCATATGTATGGCTACATGTAAACTTTATGCAAAGATATTCTAGTATGAAAGATGGTGAACGGATGAAACACTGATGATGAATACAGTTGTGTAAGTAATCTTTTTTTAGAAAGAATTTAATCAAAATGTAAAATGAAGCGACAAAATAAACATTTTGCACACATGTAAAATCCGAAAAACAAGTTTAATGTTTAATGTATTTACAGACCAAGTATAGCTTTATACACCTGGATTTAAGTTAAACATTCTATGTAAGATAGGTAGTGATACAATCCAGTTACTTAAACAGAGGTCAATCAGGACAGACTGTAAGTACTACATTAACATGGCGATCAGGTTTGACTGCTGCAAGGACCTAATCGGAGTGTATTGGCTGAAAACACTAATTCTTTAAAATCATGTCGTGTCAAGGAGGTAGGTTGAAAAGTAGTAACACCAATTCTTTATAAATCAAAACATAACACGATAATGATAAAACTGCATTACACATTTCAGAGATAGTGTCTGTGTACAAGAGGATCCTCAATTATCAAAAAACGCAAAAAAGAGATGTTTTTGTGAAGCGCTTCAACTAACTTTCGAAAAATGCTGTGTGCGATTTTCAACAAACAATGTCTACTAATGTACTTTGTAGGCATTAGTGACCAGGACATAGATTATGTCTAGTCGGACACAACCTACTTCGATGCCCAAAGGTGGCTGATAAAAAGAGTGAGTTGGTTTACAGCTGAAGCAGATCAGATCAAAACATGAATTAAGCGCTAAGTTTTCTATCTGAGCCACATCGGTAGGTGTGAAATTTTAGCCATTGACCAGTTATTAACTCCATTTAGATTATTTACGCAATAACAATGATAATAAATATATGCATTTAGTACAAATCATAAAGAAATGCATGCATTAATTGAATAAAATAGTTTAAAAATTGAGCTAAATCTTGGTAAGAAAAACGTTCCTAACAATGTTTAGTGCATGTCCAAGAGGATAGGTTTTGGTCATGTCGGACAATTGTTTTGATTGCGTGGAACATACTTGAAAGTTGTTACAAATCGATCTCTTTTTCAGCTGCTTTATTGTTTAACCTATTTCTATCATTTCGAGGACAGATTGTCTGTTTGTTTGTTTGTAATCTACACCCGGTACGATAGCTGATCGTTTCACGTAGATTACTTACCACATTATGATTTTTCATATAGCATTTATCTTCCTGTCTAACAGTTTCACTAACATAGACTACTTTGATGCATATATTGAAATCCAATGAAACTATGTGTTATAAATCGTAGAGTAATTTAGTTCACCCAGTAAAATCAGAACAAAATCTTTTAGCTGACACATTTCTTTGAAGTACTGCTATATTATTATTTGTCCGATAGTATTGTAATTTTCTTCATTTAAATCTATGCCTATATTAGCCATAAGTACTCAGCTTGTGTTATCTTTAATGTGGATTATAATAATGGTAATAATAATAATAATAATAATAATAATAATAATAATAATAATAATAATAAATAGTAATAAAGGCAATACTAATGATAATCATTAGTACATAAGATTAACAAAAAATATTAAAAAAGCATAAAAATGTAACCTTTTTTCTTTAGACGAGAATATTTTCCATTCCTCCCTCTTATTTTATGAGTTTAATCGCAAATAAGAACAAAATAGAAATAATATTTTGAATAAAAATTTTTGATGAGAAACAATCTTATTATTTTTTGTTTTTAGTGAGAGGAAAAAAAACGGAATCGAAGAAAAAATACTTCAGACAACAGAGAACAACAATACAAGCGATCGATAATCAAGTGGAAAGGAAGAGAAAATTGACTAGGCACTTTACTTGATAACTTACAAAATTCACTGCTGAATTTTCGGGAAAAAGAAAAGAACAACAAACGAACTAGTGAAGATGAAGCTTTTCTTTACTGAATGTGATGAAATTATTATAGTTTTATTCTTGCAATCATATGAGATAAGCGTTTAGACGATGTTTCTTGCTTCGATAAGGGGCATACTCAACAATAATAATAACAATTATTACTATTATTATCAGCCGTATTTAAACAAAAGATGTTATACATAAAATGAAGTGAAGCTACTTAGTGAAACACTGATATGAAAGTGAATATTCATTGACATTCAGAAACAGATGCAAGGGATGTAACACGTCAATATCCAACCACGCTGTTAACAGTAAAACAGTATATATACATTAGCTTAGCACTCAAATGTATGCCAAGTAAACTTATATTAAGACGAAGGCTTAAATCATCACTCGATAGAGTACAATCGCAATCGAATTCATTACCCAATAACCAAACGGCATGTAAACTATTTTGTTTATCGATTTAGATGTATGCATAAACGGCAGTCATGATATGCACATAAGAATGTTTGGAAACGTATCAAAATGATTATGAAAACACATTTTAACGACCATATTATAACATATGATAAGCACTCATTTTTGTTTATCGCTGGGCATACATATTAACAATTGACTGATCACTAAATATTGACCAATATCATTTTTATCTAGTCCTTTAGTGCTGATCAAATTCTGTCGATTAACAAACAACGTGTGATTAATGAAGTAGTCAATTGTAAATATGTTAATCCTACAAGAGCTATGTCGAGACCCAAGTAGCTTAGTGGTAATTCCACAAACTGTATCACTAAGTGAAGAGGGTTAGAATCCCATGCTAGGCAGTAATTCCTCCACGACTCCAAGTACGCTTTGATAAAAAGCACCAACTAGCACGAAATTTAAGTTAAACAGGGTTTCCCGCAAATACCGATTAGCATGTATTTTTTGTTAACGTTTGTTACTTCAACTCCTCATTGTTTACACAATCAACTTTTAAAAAAAACTAGTGAAAATGAATGAATGTTAATGTAGTTTAATATTGAAATATGAACAGTATTTTTAATAAAAAGACTAAATTGAACAGCAATATGGCGCGGAAAACCTCCATGATACTACGAAAACAATGGAAACAGTTGATTGACCGCGGTTATATCATAGTTTCGTCGTATGTGATAAAATGTTCATGACTAAACCAAAATATATCTCAGTAGTAAATTTTTGATTCAAATAAATATTATAGTCAAAAGTTTATTTCTTCTAGATATTGAATACGTAGGACTACCGAGACATACAGCAGTAGAATGGAGTAGTTGTTCAGCAATAATCTCTCATTTTTAACATTTGTTTATTTATAATCGAAACAAAAGCTTCTAAAACCTGGAAGCAATGGATGAGTATTTCATCCTAGTATGAGACTCCATACCAGAGCACATACAAGACCTTGCAACCAGGAATCGAACTCGAAACCTCTGGTCTCACGCGTGAACGCTTAACCTCTAAACCACTGAGACAGCATGGATACTCACTGCTGAGGAGTCCCATGCCCGGACGAAACGGCTATCTAGTGCTTCTATAGGTTTTCGATGGTGGTCTAATTTACATCGATTCATGATTTCAATGAAACTCAACGATCTTCACAACCGCATACTGAAAAGCTTTGAGATAGACATTTCTTTTGTCTAGAACGACAAATAAGGCAGTATATTTTTGTATCATACCACGATTCACGTTACTGTTCAGTGGCAGATGATTTTTATATTAAACATTGAGGGGCAACAATTTTTTTCAATATACTTATTGTATGTCATTTCACTCTTCTCATCAACTACATATAAACTATGTCTAAATAAATCGAAATTTTACAAAATCTCAACACAATTTGAATTATCAGAAAAATACAGATGTATGTAAAATATAAATTTCTGTAAAGAACTTTAAAAAGGATGTAATCAGTTATTATAAGGATATTTGTAGAATATATCGGAGAAGTTACTACTATTATTATGAAAAAGCACAAGGAATGATAAAACTTTTGAAGTTGAACTAAACATGTTTGAAGCAATAATTTTTAAAAGGTTTTACAAAAAGTAGTTATTTATGTAACCGAAAAGAATTCGAAGGTTAGTCATTGGACTAATTTTCAATGCAAAAATTAAATGTCAACCTCTTAATTGTTATAACCTTTCTAAACCAATGTAGAGTGGAGTTATTTTTAATATAGTCCTCATATCTACTTCGTGTCTGACATACACATCAAGCATGTGATGTGTAACTGAGTACATTATAGTAACAATACTGTTCAAGTCTCTGAAGCGTGGAGCCTGTTGGATATGTGCAATAAAACAGTGTATATATGTGTGTAGACACTGAAATTTCGGCTACCCAAACATGTATGCCTTGTCTGTACAATATGTAGATATATGTATAACCAGTCAGCTGTAATTTGTAACAAGAAATATATATACAGTATTGAATATTATGTTTAAGGAAATAAATGGGTTAGTAATATTAACTTCAGAGTGAGCAGTAATAACTAGAAAAACGCTCCCAGTCATAAGTTGATATAGAATAGATCGTAAGTAGCAAGCAGTGGAATCCACGACGCACATCATCGGTTGGATGTACCTGCACCTCAGAGATGATGTTTACTTCTGGACTCAAACCCAGCACCATTTGCTTCAAAAGTCATCATTTTGCCCACCTAATTACTGAGTCCAGAGAGCCAAAGAATAACTCAAACCATTACAAACTGAATTTCGCAGTCATGTAATTTATTCTAATAATATTGTGGTGTGTGCTACATATATTGACATGAGTAGTATATGATGTTAGTTGTGAACAGAAGGTCTGGCAGCAGAGAGACAAGAGGATCTAACAGTAAAGAATGGAAACAGAATGCAATTTGTATGAAAATGCAAAAACAACGAAGTCTGAGTCATTTTGAGACAATTGGTGGACATTTTGCAAATTAAGCATTTACTTTATGATTGTTAGATTTTATTAACAAGTCCTGTAATTTTGTGTTAAGTACATTCGATTGTCCCCACGCGTGTTCTGTTCACTAAAATATATATGATAGCTGATAATTATTCAGTTTACCATAGAATCGAAGAGCAGTATCAAGTTGAGAGTAACATACATAATTAGCATTTCAAATTTACATAACAATATTATCATATTCATCTTTTTTGCAAGTACATCACAACAAACAGTATGATTTTGTAATCTTAGTTCACCCACCATATGTGTAGTGGGAAAATCAATGTAAACTCCTTACGGTCTAGTTAAATTTATTTGATTTACTAATAAACTAAATATGATAGTGTTGAAAATTTTGACAAGTCATAATCTGTAAAAATAAATAAATGGCAAGAAATAAGTATTGTTTACATGTAGTCGCATACGCTAAGACTGTTTAAATAGTGTTCGCATGAAACTTTAAGGGTTGAAAGAAGTGAAAAGCTCCGTGAACGGTACACGAACTTCTGAATTCCTTGAAAAATCCGTGCACACCAACTCAATTCTGACCCAATTTATGTTACAAGTTATACGATTTAAAAAGCCACGAAACTTATCATAAAGTCATCTTTGCTCTTTTCTAGATAGTTTTCACGGCTAAATAGGTGGAAAACCTAATTAGCATTATTTTAACTTGATTTCTTAGTGGTCCATCCACTAATAAAACTTCTTGCAGAGACACTTAAATTTGCTAGGTTGTGACGATTTATTATCCTAATAAACGTGGATACACCTTTTTAAAACGTGAAGAGGAGTATTCGAAAACTGTTTACTGTTTACACGTTAGCATAAAACTATTTATCTTTCAATGTAATGAATTTTCAAGATAGAAATCATTGACTACACTACACCATTAACCGATTTGCCAAGATCCGGGCTTTGTAGAGCCTGATTCGACAGTGCGCGCTCGGTTCAAGATTTGAAGTAGGAATTATTAAGACATTTATTTTTGGTTAATAAACGTCGAGTTTTTGGAAAATAATCAATTCACCAACAAAAAGCAATGTAGATCTAATGAAAAACTACAACATAAATAAAATGAGCTACATATAATCATTATTTTCACCATATAGCATCAATATTAAATAAACAAATATTGAACTTACTTCGGAAGATTTAACCATTTTTACTTCATTGTTTGATGAGGAGTCAATCATTGGAAGTGAATCTGGACTACAAGTTTTTCGACTTTTATTATTATTATTATTATTATTATTATTATTATTATTATTATTACCAATATTATTCAAAAATGACATTTTATCTAAGTCACTGGCAATCATACCACAACAACCACTAATAATTGGATGTAGGTCATCCAGTGTATCAACACGATCACAGCGTGTATCGATGGGATGATCAGCATTATTATTACTAGTATTATTATTATTACAGTTCATTGTAGTTGAATCTGGAATTTCTTTGATTACATTTTGTTTCAAGTTAAAATTATTACTATTATTATTATCATTAAACGAAGAATCGGATGATTTGTTGATAGTTAAACACGGTGAATTACATGTTGACACATCACAATGATTTACTTCATCTATAACTTCAGGAGTAATTGAATATTTCGTTGAAATAGAACCATTATTGCCGACTTCATTAACACATATATGTGGATGTGTTGAATGTGGATGAAATTGTTGATGAAAATGCTGAAAATGTGGATGAATAAATGGTGGTGGATGCGTAGGAAGAGAATGAGGGAAAGAATGTATCGAATGAGGATGTTGTGCATATGGATTCATATGGATTAAACTTTCATTGTTTGGTAGACCTGTAGATGGTAATATAGGATGAAAATGATGAGGTTGTAAATGCTGATTAGGATTTAAAATTAAATTTGTACCAGTTGTTGAAACATCGTTTGTTTGACTAAGTGACAACGGAACACCAGTCGGAACCATTGACAATGATGGATGAGTAGGATAAGGTGATAGAATGACATGAGTAAGAATTCCTTCTTCATCAACAATTTGTTGAACCAAATGACCAGGAGGAACTTGCATAGGCATAGGTAAAGGTGGACCACTATTGGAAACCATTCTAACTGTGGCTGGACCTGAAGTTTATGAAAAATATCACATGTTGGTGAAATATATTTATATTTTACTTTGGAAGGATACAACAACCAAATCATTATGATAAACAGTTAGAAATGAATGAAGTCAGTAGTTTTTAAATCGGTTTTGTTTGGTGTGTTTGGTAGTAAAACTTGAGAAGCTTGAACATAGCATTTGAAGTCCTTTCCATAAAGATGAAAATTCTATCCAGTGCTCACTAGTCTCAATGGTACTTCCAAATGAGGGTAATCCGTGAATAATATTAAGCACAGTATTCAATTATTAACAATCCTAAAAGTTGCAATTCATAGTTTATATTTCTAATGCCCCCGGTTCGAACTCCACTCCATCTAATTCAGTTTTGGCAACCGGGTGGTATCATCAACCTTAATACTCAAGTACCTAGTGAATGAGTTTTGGAATGATTGACGTTTCAGCCTCATCTTCTTACTTTTAAAACTCTGACTACAAAAATATGATTTGTTCAGTTGCATAGTAGTAAATGGTAACAATCTTACCTCCAAACAATTCATACAGTACAAGGCAAACGTTATTATATATCACAAATTTTAAATCAGTAAGTCATTACCAACGTAGAGCTTAGTATAGACAAGAATTAACCCAAGTCGACATATCACATTAGTAAAATGAAATGAAATGAAATGAAATTAACATGATAAATAACAAGTGTAGAAATAACTGAAGTATTATCAGTAATGAGAAAGATTAAACGTTGGAGAAGGTGAACCAAGAGGGCTGAAGGAGCAAGTCCATTAAAATGTATGGTGAAGAAGTAGGTTGGAACAAAGTTAAAAGACCTTAAATCAAGAAGTGACACCAGTCTATGAAGTAATTGACAACCGGACTGAGTCATGTTAATAAGTATAGACGACCTGGGTTGGGTCTGCGTGATTATCGTAACCAATGTTTAGAGAATTTAAGTGACTTGTTTCCGAATCGGTAGCAATGAAGCAGGTACATTTATTTCTTGTCTTCCCCTAAAACTTAAGTTCCGAAATCTTATACTTTTTTTTCATTTTTCATACCTAATCTTTACTACTACTACTACTGGTACTGCTAATACTCTTACTACCCTGCCATTTGTCTCAAAATAATTTTATCACTGTGTGTTAATGTGGTACGTCAACATGTGCCAAATTCTACGTTATGTATGACTTACTGAAAATTCATAGATAATAAAATCTCGACAATGAAAATATGAACACTGCTGAACTGATTGAACTAGTGTTAATTGTTTAACCTTTCTTGTTTCTAGATGAGGTTATTTTCTTTGTTACTTTATATCATATCCCTTTGATTGCTCTACTTCGAAAAAATTATTGATATTATTGGAAGTTCGAACAAAAAACAAACAATTTTTTCATAGATTGAAATCATGAGTCAATTGAAGCTAGACCACCATTGAAAACCTAAAAGCATTGAACGGCCGTTTCGTCCTAGTATGGCACTCCTCAGCTTCAATTGACTCATGATTTCAATCTGTGAAATTTTTAAAATCTCCACAAACCCCTTCCGAAAACAATTTTTTCCCAATCTTTTTCAAAATGTTCAAAATTAAACAATTTATTTTAATTGTGTAACACTGTTGGAAAATTCAGTTTTTTTTTAAAGTATTCATAAAAATCAGATTAAACAAAAGATTTTCTCTAAAGCATTTTGAAATTTTTAAACTTTATGGTTAAAGTTGAATCTGGCACCTTGAAACTTGTGTACTTATCGACTGCTATCCAAAGATACTTCAAAAAGTCATCATAACTACCAGTGTATTTCAGATCATATAATGACCGGTTAGGGAAACAATAAATCTTTTGGGCTTTCATTTTAATCGTTGGAGGCTGGTTTATAATAAGCAGGTGGGAACTTAGATTTTTTAAAAAGTATTACCTTAAAATTAGCAATTACTTTCTAAATAATAAAAATGGTAAATCACTAGAGAATTATCAGTGTTAATGGTGTACGTGTAATCATTTGGACACATTCTTAAAATTTACAAATAAGCGGAATCATTCATGAGTTCATAGCATTGTAACAAAATAGTTTGTTGAATTTTGATAATGTTCTCTAGAGATCCAGTAAATCTACCTTGAATATATTTACTGATTTACCAATGAGAATGATATCGTACTAATTTCACTACACATTAATAGATGAGTCTGGGGTTTTTAATTTTTGACTTAGGGATCTAAAATATAGAACCAAAATTAAAAAAAACGAGCATACAATATGATGTACATGCAAATGAAATGCCTTTGTGAACGATTTTTAGTCGTTTCATCTGTCTTAAACTGTTGATTACGGTGGTAGTGTGAACCCCCATCAATAGTTAACAGTAGCTTTTTTTTCAACCTATTCCTGTACCATCCATCATCGCATGTCGAGGTATGCAGCGGTCAGAGATGCGTAACACGTCCTACCCACTTCTGTCGATAAAGATTCACAGCTCCATCAAACAGTTCATCATCTTTACCTGGTAACCTATGTATAAACCTCAGTATTACTTATTTAATGGTTCAAATACATACAAGCAATGCTTCAAAAACACCTATGGTAAACAGCCGTTAGCATACATATATTTTCTGTTTTCATAAACTATGTTTCACAACCCACTAGGGCTGGTGAAACTGTCATGATAAGTAAAGTAGTCAATGCAATTTCAATCCCTAAAATTTCAGAGGGATAAAGAACTCCCATTAAAAGAATATCTACAACGAAGCGTAACGAAATTGAAGGTTGTGAACAGTCCGGAAAAACATCAATTGGAATTGAAATTTACGTTGAAGATTGCCATAAGCTCTAACCCGACCAATAGTATTCAGTAGACAGCTTCAGCAGAATTTATCTACTTCAGTACACCTTTCGATGGGAAATACTACTATCTGGTAAATGAGTTGCTTACACATATAAGATGTAAAAATGTAAATGAATAGGCAGGAACGAAATCGAGAACAGTAAAATTCCAGCATAAATTAATTATCTGCAGTATATATATTAAGGAAGAAACAAATGAACAAACCTTTTCACCCAGAAATTGAGTTAATCGAATTTTTACTCTCGGTTTATATCTGACAAATGAGTTTTTGTGTATAGGGCGTACGGCAATACCAACTTAATGAAAATAAAAAGTTATATTTAAAATAGAAAACCGGCTAACACAGGTAGAGTTATTTTTCTTGGTGAAATAATCAGTTTGCAGATTAGAGAATGACTTATGCTGACGTACTATAATTATATTAAAGATACACTGTAAAGAGATCTCATTGTTTCAACTGCTCTTGTGAATTAAGCATCCATTTAACTTTAATTCACGTATCTTTTTTACAGATTCATGCTAGAAACCTGTATAGCATTACTATGATATTCTACATTTGATATCTTAATGAAAGCACTGATCATTGTTTAAATCAATCTCTGGAATTCCTCATGTTGCAAGTACCAAGTATACAGAACACAATCAGTAGACTAGCACTCGAATACATATCTGACTACATAATTAGAAAAAAGTACTTTCAGTCGAGATGTGTGAGATAAAACGGTTTATTAGTTACATGTGTAGAGAATCTATCTGTGTATATATATATATATATATATATATAGAATTATAGTGAATTTTTGTTTGTATGTTATTGCAGAAAACCAGTATTGATTTGGTCAGTAATGGTTTCGGATTTTCAACGATGAAAAAATCATACAACAACACTAGTGTTAATGAACAAAGGGACAGCGGTGTAAACATAAGGGAATTTTCTGTGGTATTATCCTCCATGAAGAAAAATAAACAAACTATTACCCGTAAAACTGTTGTAGAGAATTCAATTTATTAAAATGTTTTATAAATTTAGTTCCCTCAGTCAGTCAGTCAGTCAGTCAATCAGCTACAACGTAGGACCAAACACATATATGCATCGGTCCAACTTGCCATACCTCATTAACACAACACGATGGACACCGGATTCATAGCAGTGGTTAATTCAGTGGTGGTAATATATAAAATAAAAGGAAGATTGCATATAAGGATATAGTACGGGAAGAAAGAATTAGTTCGTAGAAAGAAAGATATGAAGTGATTTTAATCTCATAGTATAGGGGAAGACAGAGAGTGTATACACCTACGCCATCATGATCGATTCTGAGCCATATCACACAGAGTCTCCAACCAATGGTTACGATAGTCATGCGAACCCCAACCAAGTAGTCTTCATCTAACAATATGGCTCAGACTAGAAGTTAGTGACCTTGTGGAATGATGCCACGTTTTTGTTTGGCCGTCCCTAACTTTCTTCCAACCATCCCCTACACTAGTCAGCATTGCGCGTCGTGATAATCGGTGTTCAGGCATACGTAACACGTGGTCCAACCATCTCAGTCAACGAAGATTCACAACCTCATCAACTGATTTACCATCACTTCCCAATGCCCTATGTTTAACCTCATTATTACTTACCCGGTGATCCCAGCAGGTGCGAACAATATTTCTAAGACATTTGTGATCAAATACTAGTGGTTTACGAGTATCTTCTACTCCCAGCCGTAAAGTAAACCAGAACGAACTGTCGCACAGTATACTCGTCCAGATGTCTTGCCTTCGCCATAGGTGACGTAAGGTGGCAAAAGCCAAACGAGCTTTCCGAATACGTGCTGAGATTTCGTCAGACACCAACCCATTAGGGCTGATCAGACTTCCAAGATAAGTGAAGTTGTCAACGCGTTCGACTACTTCACTCCCTATCCTTAGTTCGGGTGTTGACGCAGACCAGTCCTGAAGCAACAACTAGCAATTAGAGGGAGAGAAGCGCATTCCAAACATCCTGGCATTGTTGCTCAGTGCTACCAGAAGACTCTGCATTTTATCAGCGTCTTCACCAAACAGGACTATGTCATCTGCGTATTCTAAGTCGACAAGTGGATCTCCTGGAAGGAGATCAATACCCGAGAATTCAGTAGACGAGAATGTTATTTCCATCAGTAGGTCTGTGATGAAGTTAAACAGAAATGGAGAAAGTGGACGGCCTTGATGGACACCACTTGAGATTACGAAATCAGATGACAGTTCGCCATAAGCTCTGACACGACTAGTAGTGTTCAAGTGAAGAGCCTTCATAAGGTTTATGTACTTCTGAGGTATGATTTTGACCCCTTCTTATATATTGGGACGACGAGTGATTGTGACGAGTCAGATGGGATTAGGTCCAACTCCCAGATTTTAGCTAAAATATTAGTCAACCTAATCGCTAAAATTTGGACCACCATCCTTAAAGACCTCTAGAGCCAATCCATCTGGACCAGCTGCTCTTCCTCGTTTCAGATTAACTATAGCCTTTTGAACTTGTGCTACAGTTGGGGGACCTACTTCAATGTTCCATTCACACTGCCTGAGAAGGGTGGGTAGTTGTAGAGTAGCTGAAGGCCAGTTGAACTGTCCTCTGAAATGTTCCGCCCGCCTGGACTGGGAGCAGATGAGAGTGTCGTCTTTTTCCGAAATAGTCTGACTTACACTTGACTTATTAATTCCAGTTTCTTTTATTAGTCTGTAGAGCTTTCTTGTGTTCCCTATAGCCGCCGCCTTTTCCATCGCTTTTGCTTTCGTTGCCCATCACTGCTCACGGTCGTTCCTTAAACTTTTGGTTAACCTAGATCTGATTTGTTTACGCTCTTTATCGTGTTCACAGCCTGATGGGATGAGTTTACGAGAATCCATCAGTGCAATAAACTTTGAAGAAATCCACTGGTTCTTTGAAACTCTGTGGTTTAAGTCGCTAATAGATGTCACTGCTGTTTCCACAGCTGCTTGTATATCTTTCCAAGCAACATCTGGGTCACCCTCGTCTTCAGAACTACCTAATCGTGACCTCAGTTGTTCCTGGAACCTACTTTTGGTTTCCTCGCTACTCAGTTCGGTTCTAATGGGTCTTTTTACTGTGGCTTTTTTGCGTCCAGTGAGGCGCAAGCAGATGCGTGCCCGTATTAGGGCGTGGTCGGAGTCCAAGCAGGTACTCCAGAATGAGCGACAATCTTGTACCGACCCTCTCCAACGATGACTGATGGCAATATGGTCTATTTGAGTCCATCGTTGGCTTGGTGCAGGCGGTCGCCATGTTAGACGATGTCTCTCCTTATGCTTAAAATTAGTACTTGCTAATAATAAACGATTGTCTGAGCATAATTGCAGCAGACGGTCACCATTATCTGTTCGCTGTGCCAGAATACCAAAATACCCACTTAAATGTCTTTTTGTTTGGTTTAAGCTACCTATCTGGGTATTAAAGTCACCTCCGACGAGTACTATGTCTGAACGTTTAGCTTTCTGAAGAAGTTCAGAGAGCTTTCTGTAAAATTCATCTCTCACTTCATCTGAGCTGCAGTCAGTGGGAGCGTAGGCAGAAACGACAAAAAGGCAGAGACGTGTGTCTCTATCCTTCTGAGTTCTTACGGAGCCGTTTAACCGAACAGCACATAGACGATTGTTAACGGGGATCCACCGTAATAGTGTTTGTTCCGCTCTTATGCTTAGTGGTATACCTACACCCACCAGTCCACGAGAACAAGCCATTATGTTGAATAAAGCAAGAAAAAATAATTAAACAGAATGACATGAATTTGTCTTATTTCGTAAGGTCCTCATCAATGGTTTAAAACATATGTTTTGAAAGATCAGAATTATTGTAAAGTTCATATTCTTATAAAAGTAAAAAGTGAATAGGTATCATCATGGCGGACTAATGAGTTTCAAGACATATGAAGTGCAATAAATAAATATAATACGTGAGAGAACATTCTGGATTATCAAACATAGTAACAAGAAGTAACTGAGATAAAATAATTGGTTGACTGTATAATGAAGTAGTTGAACGTTAATTAATAGCAATTAACAATGACATGATTTAAGGTCAATCAGTTAAAAAAATGAAGTTATGAATTTTAAAGAAGTGATGGAATTTAAGTAGGAGAGAGGAAAAAATACTGCAAGAACGACGTAAAAAAAGAAGACAAAGTTACTATGGTAGAGAAACATTTGCAACTGTTAGTGATGATATCCTAAAGTATTTCAGAATCATGATGGGACAGTGGAATCTACCTCTTGATGAACATCGTAAAATCTAAATAGGAGACTAGGTTCAGATTCGACCACACAAACTTTTATTAATCTATTTAGACTTTTTATCAATTTAAGAACAAGTAAAAAGCACCCTACTAAACAAGATAACATTATAATAGAGTAATTGAACCCTTATTGTTCTGAAATTAGCTTACGTTTCTTTAATTACGAATCTAGCTGAGGTGTTTTAGATTTTCAGTTTTTACACTTCAACTGTTTGCAGAAAGAAAATAATGACAGAAACGTTACGATAATATTTATTAGATGAAAAGTCAATATCTGTTTGATTCTAGAAAAAAGATTGTAATGTAAAATGAAGGCATTAAAAGAATTGAATAACTATACTGCTTAGAAATACTAAAAATTCAAATAGGAAAGCTATCTACGAAGAGGTAAAACGAAGAACATTTATCGGGTTTGAGATATTTAAATCGTTTTAAAACATTTGTTTTACTAAATTACACTGAGCTCGGTGATTAAAGTTAATATGAGGAAAATTTCAAGAATGGAAATAAGTATCTTAGGATTTTTATGTTACGCACTTTATATTAATCTATTCTATTAAGATCTTATTTTTACAACACAACTCTAAAACTTGAATACCATTTAGAAATGCAAAAAAAATCTAACAGATCCTATGTTTATTAATTATCACTAATCTAAAAATTCCTTAGACGATTTTGTAATACTGCAATGAAAACCATCTTTTACTCACCAGGTATGTGTTGAATCTGGTCACCTACGCGAACTGAGAATGTTTCTCCAGCATCGACATGAACCATTACATAATAGTTACCATTTTCATTCAATAATTTATTTGTACCAGACGATTGAGAATTAGAAGGAGTTTTAATAGGATTTGTTATTGTCCCATCAATACTACTAGTTATAAGAGGCAATGGATTGTGTGTTGTTGTTGTTGCTTCTAGCACATTCGATGGTGAAATAGCTTTGTAGTCATTATTTAAAGGTATATTCGATACCTGAGGATTAACAGATTGTAGATGAGCGGTAGGTAGATTAGTTGAAGAAGGATTCGGCAACATGTACGGTCCTTGGGGATGAAACAACAATGAGGAAAGGGGTACACTAGCAGAATTTACCCCAGCTGCCGCCGCCGCTGCTGCTGCTATAACTGTTGGGATAGAAGATGGAAAAATAGATTGTGAAACCGCTGGTATATGAAGATCTTGAACAGAATTTGTAGATAAGTTGAATGTTTGAGCAATATTTTGATGTTGATGATGATAGGTATTCAACGTTTGTGGAAATTCTGAATTTCTTAAATTATTAGCTGGAATAATGCATATATTTGAATTAGAATTTTCTACGATAGTATTACTTAGCATAGTAGTACTATCATTTTGCAAACTTCCAGAATTGATCAACTCTGTATTCATACTATTAAATGTTGCTGTTTGTGCACCAAAAGAACAATTACACTGACTTATACAATTTCGACCATAAACAGATTCCAATTTAGGTAGACAGTTGTCATTTCTAATTATCATTTGACAATGTTCATTATTAAACATGTTGAAACTTGTGATAATTTACGTACATTGAATAAATAAATCATATTCAGGTCAATAAATACTTGCGGAATATTTTTTGAGCAAACCTTTTATCAAATCACTTGTAGAAATATTATTTTTAGGACATTTTCCATGTTACGTATAACCGAATTCCAACAAAAATTAATATCTAATATAAGCAAAGTGATTTGAGTTTAAAAAATAATTGTATATTTTTACTAGCTTATTAATATACATATAATTACAGTAAGAAAGTATACAAACACCTAATTCAAATTTGATAAACACAAAGTACCGGTTTTCAATTAGTGCATTTAGCCATTTTTACGAAAGAAATTAGTATCACAAAAGACTGTTTACACGACCCAGTAATCATACAAAAGTTTATTCAAACAAGACTTCGAGTTATATATTTTAAGCATGGACTACTAGCATACAACACGTCTTTCTAAGTCAACATGGGTGTAGTGAATATCCCATAACTGCAAACCAGTGTTTAAAAAATGTTACCAGCTATTATCATCAAACCACTACACCAATTAATTATCAATAGTTTGTTTAATTTCAGATCATTTAGAATTTAACTATGAGTAATTGTAAAAAAATTGTTCGACAAATGCGCATTAGGCCTTTATTATTTTTTGCTACTCGAAATAAAGGTACAAATGACAGTTGCAAGAACTAAGGCTGGTAGTTAAACATTAAAGTGGATGACCTTTAGTTGCTATAGCCTTGAAGTGCTTACGCTTGAAGTCATCTTCAATTATTCTTATTCTTGTATTTAATATTTGTATATGTGTTATTGTTTAAAAGAAGAACATCTATTCTACTGGGAGGCTGTTTTGGCTTCTAATATCAGCTCAATTGGTGATTTGTCATTAATCCGACCTCGTGCGAAGCCATCATTCGGACAATTCATGTTATTGCATATTACCTAATAATCAGTATTAGGTTTGTTCACTTAACAACCTAAAGACCGTTCCCACATTCTGCGGGTTTTTGGTGTTATGTTTTTCATCTTTTCTATAGATAATAAAGCACTACAAAAACACGCATGAACAAATAGTATTTTCTGTCAGATCTTTAAGTTTTTATATAAAATAATATTCACATGCACATACATATCATTAAAGCAACCAAGCGACTAAGAGTTAATGATAACGATGAAATATCATACAAATAAACATTATAAGTAGAGAGCAAAAACTGATGATAATAATATGACAGGTGTACTAGTCGTGACAAGGATAATCAAAGCTCGAATCAGCGTCTTGACATGGTTATCACTGCCTTAGGCAAGACTATAATTTATGGACAAAACAGTCAGATTTAAGATAACAGATCTTGGATTTTAGAGCGAAATTGATCCATCCATTTGTCTGAATAGCCCTTTGGCATTTTAGCTGGTCAGTTCGTGATGAAAGCCTAGCCCTAACCAACGGTTGTAAATCATAATACTTATTTTTCAAACTGCTTTCTAACCCTCATTTAGCCTCAGTAAGTAAGTGGACTTTCTCGAAGCACCAAGGCGTCGCTCAAAGGTCATCTACAAATTATAGTCTCACCCTTCCTCAATATAGTATGATTTAATATTTTTCAAATACATAGATATAATTGTATACTATAGTATAAGTTAGTGAAGATTTAAGTGTAAACAATGCTGGTAGGTTATATACTGCACGACGGGAATCTTCAATATAATAAAAACATAACAGTCAAACGATGAAAGTATGAATCAGACCGCTGAAACTGAAACTGTTGAAATGACTGAAGTTTACAATCAATTATTTTAGAACAGTCGGAAAATCTCTGAAGTAAGCCCTTAAGAAAAATTGACTTTTTTTTCTGCTATTTATATTACTAGTTAACCCATTGAGTGCTGATGAAGAATATTATGTGTCTACAATAAGTCTGTCGTACATATTTTATACTCAAAGATGGTATAATTTATACCAGCTAGTTACCAAAGCATCAAATGAAACATAGTTTAATCAACAAAGAGCATGAATGTGAAAATCAAAGAGGATTATGAAGAATCATCCTGATTTTGATAACGCGCCAGTTAGTTGATTTCAATATGCAAAAAGTGCCCCAAAATGGCGCAGATAGAACCTTTAGCCACTTACAAGACACCAAATTCGGAGTATTTGTAAAGAAATACCACGCTTCTGAAAGCATCTGTTACAATTTCAGATGATAATGAATGATCAAATACGAATAAATTTACTAAAGTCAATAGACAGTACAAAAACACGGCGAAATCCTTAAGAATGATCATAAGTAGGACAATTGTGGCAAACGTTTGGCCGAAAAAATCGCATTATTAACTTAATTACCCAACAAGTCTACTCACCAGGAAAGTGAAGTTAAAAATAGCGGCTTTTATAAAGTGCAATAAAGTGAACGTATAAAACTAAACTACAATCATGTTACGCCATCGTCTATGAATGAATAAAGGATCGAAAATCTTTCCAAATAAATATAAAAGGACCTATTTGATTTGAATGCTTATACTAGCTGATGATTCCTTTGATTCTGTATTTATAACCAATTCATTTTAACTCCGTCCAGTACAAATCAAGTTCTATGTCTTAGATTTCACTACCCTGGGAAGTCTCAGTTGGCAGATAGATTCTCATACTTTTAATTCTCATGTTGCTCTAGCTCACTTTTCGATTGCTTATCAGTTTAATCACTTTTCAGTATGGAATTTTTATCGATGTTATTTAAGGTAGCCCAAAGTACTTAAATGACTTCGATTAGTTGCATATACCTGGGATAAAATAAAAAACAACCTAACCTAGCGAGCTTCAACTATGAGTGAAAATTGTTCCTCGGTGCTGTTAAGTAGTGGCAGGGATGTGAAAACAAGCAGGGGTACAGTATATATATTAATGAATCACATTCATATTAACATATATCCAGACAGATGACCGACAGGTTGTGTTAAATCTTTAATATCAAGGCTCCCTTTGCGTCCAAACTTCGCTCGAAGGAGTTGTTTGAGGTTATGAACGATACTTATTACAGGACTTGTTTCGATAATTTGTTTAATCAGTTGAAAATCAAACATCTCAATACGGCATTTTTCGAACATTGCTTCTGAATTCGTTTCCTTTCTTTAAGTTGCTCTGACATGGGTAAAAAAGAAGTATTTTGCAGGTGCAAGACCTATTCTTATCATCTTATTAATAAGAATTAGATAATGTCTATAGTGGTCAATGGTTTACTCTTCTCATTGATTACAGTCCTCTTCTCACAATTTTCGGTTCAAAACCCTGTATTCCAGCTCACTCTGCAAACCGTATCCAGCGATGGGTCTTGATACTTTTGGGTTACAGTTTTGATGTTCAGTATCGGCGCGCCCAACATTTTGGTTAGGCAGACTTATCAGCGAACACCCCACGGCCTCCGAAGATGTAGTTATTACCTTCCTTATAACATAAGACCACACACACTGTTGCCTGACAACTGCTGTTGGTTCCTTGCCAGTCTCAGCATCTTAGATATAAACTGCCTGCAGGAACGACCCTATTATTAATAGAACGATGAACTACGTCACCAATGTCTGGCCGTCAAATGGACTCGACGGTGACATGAGGCAGCTTTGCCACCGTCGGAACTTATTATGTGTCGTGAATGAGTGATTGGTGTTTGGAGATAGCGTGGTTGTACTAGAGTTCCTACAATCAGGGGTGCTAAATGTGCTCCAAATTGGCCATCCTGGTAAAAAAACGAATGAAATTCATTGTCAGAAGCTATGCTTATTGGCCCCTCATAGACCATACATATGATGGATTTCTTAGGTAAATGCACGCAGTGTAAGCATGCGGCGAAGTTGCCGCCGCGAAAGTGCCGCCGGTCCCATGTCCACAGGTTGAGTATCCCTGGTCCACGATACCTGTCGATTTTGCCGATCCACGTAATAGAACCATCTATCTTGTCGTGGTTGACACCTTTTCAGAATGGCCAGAAATTGTTCACATCACACCACCAATGACTACCGAAACGAAACATCTTTTGACGGAGATTTTTGATCGCAATAAGTCACCGGATGTAATTGTATCAGACAATGGTTCGTGGTTCACCTCAACTGGATTCCAAGATTTTTACCAACACCTGACCATCAAGCAATTCCTCTCTCCACCTTACCACCCACAATCAAACGGCCAAGTACAAAGATTTGTGGATACATTCAAGAGATCTGTAGTTAAGTCTAAGGTGGAGGGAACGCCTGTGCAAACATTGCAGAACCTCTTATTCACTTACGGAACGACACCTGGTGATATGTTATCCGAGCAGAAGTCCCCGGCAGAGATCCTCATGTGAAGAAAATTGGGAACGATCTACAATCTGGTTCTTCCGAGAACTGTACCATCGCCATCACAGACCAAGTCCCAGGAGCTGACAACGTACGAGGTTGGATGTCCGGTGTTCCCTCGGGACTACAAACCAAATCATGGTCCCTGGATCACATGTGGTCAGAAAACTAGGACAAGTTATGTACGAGGTAGAGGTGGGAAGAGATGGGCGGACTGGACACCGGAACCAGCTACGTAAGCGGCTAGCCCCGGTTCGCCTTTCGACCGAGGAAAGTATCCCGCTGGACATCCCGTTAGTTACCTTTAATCTTCCCGTAGTCTCAACACAGGAGGAAGCACAACGACAAGTCGATCTACCATCCAGAATGTGATCACTTCGACAATGGAAACAGACGATCAAGATGCACGTGGACCAGAGGAACGTACGTTATTAAAGAGGGATGTGTTGGGTATGTTAGGTTGCCAGAATTCACTTGGTGAACACATTATTTTTGAAATTTCATTTTAAAATTTTGAATTTCTTGTTTTCTCTCTAAAAGAGCTCATTTTCACCTTCATGTCATATTTCTCACTTGGGAGGATCTTGAGCGCTATTGGTTCGTTGTATCTTTTAGTATGCGTCTGAAAGACAATTTTGTACTGTATATATATGTCTGATTTGTGCCTGTTGTTATTCCTCGTACTTTTGGCTGCCTCTGGAATATATTTCCACGTTTCGAACTTGGACTTCTCCCTCCAGTTAGCAGGGCTGGGACACATCAGAATAACTGGCTTATTGTTCTTTGGTCACAGAGTCTTTGTTTGGATAGCAGACTAGGTGAACTTGTAATCGCTTCAAACAT